TTAAAAATGCATGATATAATCGCCTTTGTTGGTGAGAATTATCATAATTAGTGATAATTGAGCAAAACTAATGGAAAAGTGTGACGTTAGGCAGCTGATCACAGCAGTTTCATATATATGGATTCTGCAATACATATTTGAACATTCTGTTGTGTTATCAATATCATCCTAGTATCTATTTTGTGAGGGAGAAGAATTGACTTTGATCTATTAAACCTAATTTTAACGTCGTAGGATAAAAAATAGAAGACCGATGAGTGCAACCAGTACAAGACCTTCTGCCTCTGTTACAAACACTGTCACTGTAGAAAATGCAGAGAGCAGTCAATCTCAAACTCTGGTCCTGCGGCTGAATCGAAGGAAGAAGAAGGTATCATGGAAAGATGGAACTGTAGACAACGAATTCATGCAAAAGAAGAGTTCCAAGAAGTGCTGCATTTTCCACAAAGAGAAGCCGTTTGACGAAGATACCAGTGATGATGAGGAGCATGACCATAATCACCATCATCATCATAAGCATGACCATAATTCCAAGGATGCTGGTGGAAGCTCAACCTCTGTATGATTGATTGATTCGACGACGCAATCCATGTTAGTGGACACTGCCAGGTATTGTCCTTGTGTAAAGTTTGGATAACAGGAAGAATTTTATTGATAGGAAAATGATTGGAATATTGATATTCTATTAAAAGCTGAAACTGGGTATCTATGAAATTTTTTCTTTTTCATATTATTGAAATTCAAGCATAATTTGTCAACTGTGTTTTCTTTCTTTTGTCCAAGGAGATAGATGACAGACTTTTGTATCCTGGATTTGATCATATTAGTAAAGGTTTATTGGATGTACATTTCCTACTTTCATTATCAGTCCAGTATGAGATCATAACATCCTTTCTAGGTTTACATACAATTACATTGATCTTTATGTTAGATGCATGCAATTCCAAGTTAATCCGACATAAAAAGGATTTCAGTTCTTATTTTCCTTGCGAATTCGAGTACTAGGTGACCTTGACAAGATGGTACTTGTGATATTTGGCTTGTGATGCTGTTTATTTGAGTTTAATGAATGTTTGAATCTTTCACTTTTTTGATTGGATGGTTGAGAGATTATCTATGGTTTAACTCGAGGTTTTTACATGGACACCCTTAAATTTAGTGAGAGAAACAAGAAGATTCACAGGTTTCATAATGGAATACTTACCCCCTTATAATTGACAAATATTTTGTTAAAAGCGAATTCGGACAAAGGACCTTTATACATTGACTAATATACCCTTATTTTATCTTTTTCCTTACAACAAAAAGAAGCTAATATTTGATCTTTGTCATATGATCAGATTATTAATAAATTTTGACAATTTGATAAGATATTTGCGAAATAAAAAACTTGCTTTTTTGCATTGTGTGTGATGTGTATTACTTTTTACAAACATCATTCAATTACAAAGGTGTAAGTGTTTCATTCTGAAACTTTTGGGTCTCCTTAATTCCCTCACCAAACTGCCAATGGTTAATAATTATTTGGCAGGAATTGATAATGTTTTTTTATAAAATTAAAAGATTGTTATTTATATATAGGATTAGGGATAATGATAGAAAACCCCCATGTGTTTCAACTAGAATTCCTCACTCTTTTCAGAAATAGGAACATAACCCCCATTTGGGTTACCATCCGTTCATAAAAATCTGTGAAATTATGAAATGACATTTTTGCCCTTCAATAGAATGCTAAACTGATTTTTTTTTTTTGTCAATTTTCTTTTTCACTCAAATAAGCTGATTTTTTTTTCAATTTTCTTTTTTATTCAAATAAAATTTCTTAATATATATTTTAGTTTAAGATAAATTGTTTTCATATTTTTAATCCACTTATTGTTTCATCTGATTACTTTATCTCATACCAATCCGAATTGTACTCTCCAAACAAATTTATTATTCTACCTTTAATCTAAATCTACAAAACTCAATAAAAAATACATTATAAAACATAATTAATTACAACCCTTCAATCTCCAAATTCATGGAATCTAATTTCTTAAGAAAAATTAATAACAAATTGAAGAAATAAAAAAATTGAAGCTTCATAGTGGTGGCCAACCACTAGATCAAAAAACAGATAAGGAAGAGAAGAAAAGAAGGAAAGAGAAAGAGGATGAAGGATGAGAACGATGGAAGAGAGAAAAAGAAAAAAAAAAAAAGCGAAGGAATAAGGAGAATAAACTTATTTAGGGTTTTTTTTTTTATAAAATCTGAAAGTCAATAATACCCTTCATAAGATTGAAAAACTACCAATATACCTTATTATATGTTAAAGTTAACTGACAGATTTAACGGAATGGGGTTATGCTCCTATTCTAACAAGAGAGGGGGCTCATTCATTTATTCAAACACATAGGGTTTTCTATTATTATCCCTTTATAAAGATTGAAATTTCGGGTCTGTTTGATAGATTATTTAAAAAATATTATTCTTAAAAACTATTTTAAGTTAAGCTGAGTTGAGTTTGATTAAATCGAATAGGATATGATTCTAAGAATGTATTTGGTATAATATTTAAAAATTATATTAGAATTGAATAAAATACTAAAAAGTTGTTTGGTATATTTTTTGAAAACATTTATATATTTTTTTAACCCTTTACATTTGTTAATTTATCTAAACACTCACACAATAAAACTTTAAAAATTGATAAAAGTACCCCTATCCATCCAAGCCATTGCTAGCGGCCAACCACCATTGTCGAACGACAACCGACAATCATCATAATGGTGCATAATCGATTAGATTTGGCTAGTTGTATGCCGATCTGATAAAAAATGGTCAGATTTATGGTCAAAATCTAGCCGTCGTTAATGGCCAAAATCTGACTATCATCAACAGCTAGATAGATTTAATTGTTTTCGGTCAGATCGGTGCATAATTGATCAGATTCAATTTATCTTGTGTTATTTTGGTAATCGATGTTGGTGGTCTTGGGTGGATAATTTTCAGATTTGAAGAAGTGAAATGTAATTATATTTAGTTGAATAGAGTTAGAAAAATATTTTAGGTTGAATAGAAAATAAGCGATCCCTCTCTTTATTTTCTCGGATTAATTTTTATAATAATGATGTAAACCAAATAAGAAGAACGGAGGAGAAAATTCCAGAAATTAATATTTGGTAAAAGAAAGAAAGGAAAAAAAAATTGCCAGCGAATCAACAATCATTTTGGTTGCAGTACAGCTACTAAAATCCTAATTCTAGGCATGTGCATTAATTAGGGAGCGCGCGTCGTATACGTGGCCGACAAAGTCAGGTGTGCTAACTTCCTACTCAAGAGTTTAAATTCCCGCTATAAAGAAACGAAGATTTACAGGCCTTGAGTTAAGGCATTAACTAGTGACAATTTGTCTGTTTCTGTTCACCGAATTTAATTGCACAGTGTCGTATCATTATACAGCTGTCAGCCACCTGGATGCCTCCAAAAACACAACACGAGGTAATCAATCTATCATAGTGTGCCAGCTCATCGCTAGCCACGCTTAGGTTCCATTGGATCCTGTCATCAAATATTCTGATCGACCATTTTGTTGCTCCATTTTATTAATGTTATAATTTTTAATGTAATCATAATACTTTATTTTATTAATTTATGTGTTTATTCCAATTTTTTCTATAATTTCAAATTAAATATTTACTTTGTCATATTTTACTAGATGAAGACGGGTTGGGTAATACCTTATCAAACCATTTTTATTATGTTCAAATCATTCGTATTGTTCATTTGTTTATACGATAATTTGTATTAATCAAAAATACCCAATCAATTTCGAAGGGAATCAGGCAAGATGTGTGTATAGTTCTTGATAATCAACAATATCACTAAAATGACGTAATAAAGTAAAAAACAAGAAAAATTTTCTATTAGTTTGACGGTATAAAAATCAAATCAAACCTATATCCACTGTCATATTATTATTGTAGGGTGTTACAGGGTTCAATGAGGTTACAAATGAAAGATCGTGAGACTAATGGGATGTACATGACTCTTGCAACTTATTCTCTTTGAAAAAATCAATGTGTTTATCTCTTGAATTTTACTAATGCATAAATCAATCCCCTTGAAACGTAGATTGTAGGCTTCTTTTATACTCATCTCATTTGACAGTGGTTGAGAGTGAGTGCTACAAGATTACTTATTCGCATAATCCCCCTAACTAGGATCTGAGTCAACAATTTTTATGTTTGTGACAGACTAGATATGCTAATGACAGCTGAATTTATACTTATGACAGTAATCACCTTATGACAGAAGGCAAACGTCAACGGAACAACTCATAAGAGGATCTTGGTCGTCAAGGATTTGATGTAGTTCAAGGACATACAACACAAATCTTACCATCCGGGAATTGGGCATATCATCATTAAAATTGGTGATATAAATGATGGTTGTCTTAATATATGCTTTAGAGATGTTAAAAATGCTAAAATACAATATATATAGACTTCTATTCTAGTTTTCTTTTAAAGCATACATAAATCAGTTGCCCATTTTATTATTGATAAATCATAATAATGATTATTGATTAAAAGAAAAGTTATTTTCACATATTAAACTAATTTTAATTATACGAATATTTGGTAATATCGTTCATGAAAATATTTGCTGGAAAAAGGTCAAAAAAAAATAGAAGGAAAAAAAAATTTCAAGGCCCATTGCGCTGTGTAGCTGTAGCATCTTTCTTGAAGTATCCAGGTGGCATACAGCTGTCTGATACTTCACTGAATTCATATTAGCCCTATTGATACGGCACCGCTTTACGAAATCCAAACCTCACGGCTCACACCAAAAATGCCCTCAACTGAACTGACACTTTTATCAACCTTAACGGTCACTTACTTCGCTTAAAACAAGCAACAAGACAAAATACTCAATCCGTTGACTAAGCCCAAAACCGTCATTTCCTAGCCAGCCAAATCGAAGCTCTTGGGGGCATTTTGGTCATTCAGTTAAAACGAAAGAAAGCCACAAAACCACAGAGAGGAAGAAGAACAAGAACAAGAGCAAGAAATCTAACTGACTGAGCTTGCCTGCATCAGATCGAGTGAATCATGGCCGAGTCAAGTGACTCGGTGTCCATAGACATTGACATGGTACCTTTAGGAGGGAAGGTGAACAAGCTTAAATTAACTATCAAAGAAATTACCTTTTTTTTTTTTTTTTGCCCTTTTTACTCTTTATAGAATTGTTCACAGTTTGATTAATGTGTTTTTCATTTCTTTGTGTTTGCTTAAATGTAATTTCAAATGTGTTTGTTTGAGCAGGAATGTTTGGTTAAAACAAGTAAAGGATCAGTGTCTGTGTTTGTATGTGGTGATCAAGAGAAGCCTGCTTTGGTAACATACCCAGATGTTGCTCTCAACTGTACGTTTCATTTTTTTTTTTCTTTTCATTTAATGGTGCCAGTTAAATTCTTGATAAGGGTTTTAAAAGGTTTGATTTTGCTGTTCTTTGTTTGAAAGTTAGGGGGAAGTGGTTAAATCAGTTGAGATTGATTGAGATTTTGGTGTTGAAGGGTTCTTTGTTTTTTAGGGTTTGATGGGTTTTCGGTTGTATAATAAAATCGAAATGAATTTAATTTTGTTTTTTTTTTTTGGTTCTTTTGGGGTTTTACAGACATGTTTTGTTTCCAAGGTCTGTTCTTTTGCCCGGATGCAGCTTCTTTGTTGCTTCATAACTTCTGCATTTATCACATTGATGCCCCTGGGCATGAGGTCTGTCTTTGGGAGATAAGTGTTTGTTTGGCTATTTAATTATGGTTTTTTTTTTGGGTGATATTAATGAATTTTTTTATCACCATTTGTTTAAGAGTTCTGTGCAGTTAGGAGCTCATGAGATTTCTTCAGATGTTCCACTGCTTAGTGTAGATGACTTAGCTGAGCAAGTTGCAGAGGTGCTCGATTTTTTTGGGTATGCAACTCTTGTTCTTTTACCTGCATTTTTTGTATTATTGTCGTGGTAATTGTTCTTAAACTGAAATATTGGGGTTTCATTTTGCTAAGAGAAACCCTAGAAGACTTGGATTTTCTTTGATAGTGAAAACTCAATGGAAGAAAAACCGAGTAGCATGCATGTCTTGTTAAGACTGATGAATTAGATATGATCAGCTTATTGATATTAGTCAATGGAGAATAAATCTTGATAGCTATGTGAATGACTTTAACTTGGTTTGATTATATAGTAGAAAATTAGAAGTATTGATGGTACTTGCAATGCAAAGACTTCTGTGAGAATTTTAAAGAAACAGGCAACCAAATGGAGTAGGATAATATTTTTGAATATAGATAATAGTATGTGGAGGCAAATCAGTTAAGCCAGATGTGACATGATATAACAAGGTTGTGCTTAATCTTATCTTCATTTCGTTTCTTTGACAAAATTATTAAATGTCAGGGTCCCTGTCTATTTGAATCCAATACTTTTGAGATTCTCTTCAAAGTGTTCCTTGCCAACCAGACACATTTCCTTCATAGCAGAATAGTAGTAATCCTCCCCTCACTATGAAAGTGAGTTCTACAGAAAGATTTAACTCCCCTGGCACGTTTCGATATCTCCTTGCAGTCTTTATTTACTGTTCAAGGAGATATAGACAATGACTTTCTGGAGATAGCAAAGGGTAGGTGCAGAAAACTTTTGCAAAATGCTCTTTTTAAATTATCCTATTTAGGATTGAGTATCATGCTGGTGTGAGGATCTGTAAGGGGTCCTGGAGTCTCAAGCCAAGTGTACCCAGCCTCATCATGCCATTAGGGGGTGGGGTGTTTAGGTGTTGTTGCTTAAGGTTTCTAAATGGTTATTTGATTTCTGATTTCTATTATTTTTTAGCTTGCCTACTTAAATTAGAGAAGTCCATGCCATCTATGTTTCCTTTGCATCGTACTAGTGTAAAGATCTTGATATTTGTCCCTACCCACTGTGTTAAGCAAATTTCTCTTCCGACAGCTGACACTTGCATTATTCTTTTCCTGTTACATTACCCATACTTTTACTTAAAGCTCTATTTTTTTTTTTTTTTTTTTTTTTGGTAATTCAGACTGAAAAAGGTACTGTGCCTGGGAGTGACTGCTGGTGCTTACGTCCTTACACTCTTTGCAGTATGTTCATGAAGTTGACTATCTTTTTGTTCTGAAATTTTTCTTCAATGATGGATTTATGTATTTTTACAATTTGGCAGATGAAGTATAAAGAGCGGGTGCTTGGATTAATACTTGTCTCCCCTATTTGCAAAGCACCTTCTTGGGCAGAGTGGCTTTACAATAAGGTTCTCATCTCCACTTATTAAATCAATAGCATTTGTGATTGAGAAAATTAATGGGTCAGCACTCACCAGTTAATTATTATATCATAAAAACTGACACGCTATCTGTATAAAAATGGATATTGAGAAAGCAACTTCAGACAATTCAAGTGTTATGTGTATATGATGGGAATAAATATGCCCATTTGACCAAGAAAAAAAAATGCATCATCCATGATGGTTGCAGTTAAAAGATAAAAATTAAATTTTATTAAGGTTTGTTTGAATTCTTCTTCAGGTGTTAATGAACTTGTTGTACTTCTATGGAATGTGTGGAGTGTTGAAGGAGTGCCTTCTCCAGCGATACTTCAGTAAGGTACATTGGATCGCCTTATATAAGAGTGGTATAATGTATCTGACTGGCTATATGATCTAATAACTTAACAACTTATTCTGATAGGAATTTAGGAGTGGTGAACATGGTGAAGAATCAGACATAATTCAAGCTTGCCGACGGGTAAGATAAACCCAGTTCCTATCAGTGTAATAGTCCAATCACTGGGTCTTTTCCAATATTTATGTGTTGGCAAGGCAAACACTATATTAGTTTTTACTGTATGTTAAAACAAGACATTCAAATTGAATGGATTTTGATACTTTCTGTAATGTGTATACAGGTTTTGGATCAAGGCCAAAGTTTAAATGTCATGCGCTTTCTTCAAGCAATTAATGAGTAAGTTTTCGTTACTTCAATGCGTATAGTTTCGCCATTTCAACTCATACTTATATCTGTCCTACAGGGATGTTGTGCAAGGGATAAAAAACTGTGTATTTTGTTACAATGCTGTCATAAATTGATTTCTGAATTTAATGATAGGAGGCATGACCTTACAGACGGCTTGCAGAATCTGCAGTGCAAAATGCTTATTTTTGTGGGTGAAAGTAGTCCATTCCATGCTGAATCCGTGTTTATGAGTGCNAAACTTTGACTTGCCGCGGTTGAATTCTCTGTCTCCTCTTTCATCTGTGGTGTTGCCTGTGAAGTAACGAATCAACATAACAAGAAGGACCAGCACAGCTACTGCCAATCCAATCTTTCCCCTATAGGAAGTCAGCTTGCTCAGGCGAACTTGCAATGGAGTGTGCTGATCCAAGTCACGGCTAATAGAACTCATCATCTCTCCCCATGCCGTTTCATACCGACAGAAGTGATGATCATAGAACCATAACCATCTGTGACCTTTGTGCCAGAAAGCAACAAAGGATTCTTGCTGCCATTGATCTCAACATGGTCACTTTCACCAGTCATGCTAGATTCATCCAACTTACGCCACCCACTAAAACTTCAAAGATTGACACGGCTTGGCGCCTGCCATCTCTCACTACTTCAACTTTTATGTCACCACTCTCATCAGAAAGCTTTTCAAATTGTCTATTTTGCTTAAAGTTACTCGCGGCAGAGACAATTACAACCAAAAACACAGCAAATATAATACTTCTGCCATCATACCACCCTTCTTTCAAGCCATCTTCTTTAATTCCGAAGGCTAGAGAAAGTACTGCACAGAGTAGAAGTATGATAATGGTAGTATCTTTGAATGCTTCATAAACAAAACTAAAAAATTTTTTGCATCTGGCTTTTAATAACAGTTTTGAACAAAAGCATTCGTTCTATGCAGAAGTTGAGCCTCATTACCTTGGACACCATTCTTTTCGTGGGTTCCAAGAATTGCAGCAACTTGCTTCACTCCTCCAAGATTACTCAAAGATTCGAAGTTCCTCTCTTTCACCATGGCAGTGAGTATTTTCTGAATTTAATGATAGGAGGCATGACCTTACAGACGGCTTGCAGAATCTGCAGTGCAAAACGCTTATTGTTGTGGGTGAAATTAGTCCACTCCATGCTGAATCCGTGTTTGTGAGTGCCGCAATGGGCAAAAAAAAGCTGTGCTCTAGTCGAGGTAGAATGCTATTCACATTGTTGATTCATTTCTTGTTTCTATTTTATTTATAAAAGTAATTTGTCCATGTAAGTGCAATTCTGATCAATAATTGTTTGACTATATAAATAGGTTAAGTTTTCAATAATTTATCATTAATGCAGAGTCACTTGAAGTCACAGGCGTTGCAGAATATGAAATTAGCATGCACAAGGAAATAAATGGGTGCAGATTTTCTGAAATTAAATTTTAAAAGAAACTTTCTTTTCATGTATTTTACTTTTTCAGACATTTCTAGAAATAGGCCAGTAAGGTTGATTAAGTGGAGGAAACTGATTAAGTGGAGGAAACTCTGTATGTTACCAAAGGAAAAAAAAGAAAGAAAAGTAGGAAGTTTGTGTTGATGTTCTTGTTTGTGTTTTTGACAGGTTCAGGCATGCGGCTCATTGGTAACAGAAGAATACCCATTAGCCATGTTGATTCCAATCGAGTTCTTTCTAATGGGGTTCGGATACTATAGACAACCACACTTTGCTTCTTCATCAAGCAATGGCTCAAACCCTACTAGCCCCTCAAGCCACTCTTGCATAGCACCGGAACTTCTTTCTCCCGAAAGTCTAGGTATCAAGCTAAAACCGATCAAAACGCGCGCAGATATTGAAATTTGATGCTCTAGGTACAAGTTTTCATCACACAGAGTGATCTCATTAACTTGCCTTGTCCAATCAGAGGAAGAAGGATAGCTTATTCTTTCATTGTGTTTGTAGATGTATTAATTCTTTGTTAAAATAGTGGCGATGAATGTATTATATTAGCCTAGAGACAATATATATAGTATATATATATATCATAGTTGGAACACCATTCTTTAGAGAGGGAGGATTATTCTTTTTCTGTAACCGATGTCCAAGTTGTACACATTACCACAATACTGTAACTTTTAATTTTTCCAGTACAGCTTATTGAGTGATTGAGAGAGAACATTATTTTCTTACTCGTTGATGTTGTTATTGATAATTATATTTTTCTATATTTTAAATCAAAATTTGGCAAAACAATTTTGGTTCTATCTTCTTGTCTCCTAATGAGATTAAAGGTTGAAGAAACAATATTTATAGAATCCAGATTCTCTTTTGGAAAAGAGTTAATTAAATCTTTTAACAATTCATTATCTTGATCCAATCATTTAACATCAAAGTAATATTTTATTGGAATCACTGGACTAGTATAAATTTTTTACGAATGAGAGTGAGTACATTTGAGCAATGTTTTAATAACCAACCCGGGGTGAAGTCTGGCAGAGTCGTCGAGTCCCAGGTTGAACTGGTTTGATCGGTAGGTCAAACCGGTGTTCAAATGTTTGAAATAAAACCCATCTCACCTGTCTCCTGTTCGCTCCACCAATCCTGACAACATACAGTTGTTTTGGTCGATTGATTTTTGCCTTTTCTAGTCGATTCACTTACCGAAAATTACTCTTTTCACCACCTTTGAACTCACCATACTCCCTCTCCAAAAGTTTCAACATAATTGTCATCGAATACTCGTCAACTGTCATCCATAATTCTACGGTTTAGGGTGAATAGTTGAAAATTATAACCTGCCCGGCAAAGGCCTCAAGTCTCGGTTCAACCGGCTGGGCCGGACCGAGTATCAAAACACTGCATTTAAGTTAAAATTCTGGCCCTTCAGATAAAAATAAATCAATATAAACAAAGATAAAAATGTTAAAAAATCAATAAATCAATAAAAGAAGAAATACAAAAGTTAAAAATCAATTGGCATGGAAGCAAAATCATATTTCAAAGAACAAAAGAGCATAAATTGATTAAAAGAATCAATGAATTTTACATTCGGAAGGCCTTGTTAACAAAGAGACATTAAAGTAAAATTAAAAAAACTCCATCTCTCCTGCATGGGATTGAACGCACGCATAAGCTTGGACCCCCAATTGAAATTTTGGGTTACAGATTCTCTTCCACCTTGCCGTGCATACCTTAAACCTTTCTCTTCATGCTTCCCCGGCACTTTTTATGTCTCTCTTCTTGAAAATACTCTTTCGCTTCACATTCATGTCTTTGAATATGAGATTAAAAACATCAGTAATGAAAGATATATCTCTCTCCGTCTTAGCTTCATGATCACCATCCAAGTTTGCTCCGTCTTAGCCCTGCCATCTGCTGTAAGCTTCCACGTTATCAAAAGTCTCTTCCCTTCATCAGTAGGTAGAACGACGCACTTCATCGCTACGAATAACCTTATTATTATTGCACTGATCTTGTCCTAAAAATTTTATTTATTCTCTAGCGCTTCCTTCTTCTTCCTCGCTGTTTCAGAGTTTTTATTGATCTTCTTGCTGAGTTTACTTCCGAGTTTAATAATTGGGTCGCAAGGAAGTGGAAGGGTTTGAGTACTCGTTGAAGGAGTAGTAGTGCTATTTGAATGTCATTTTTACTATCTATACGAAGTAATAAGGTAGGAAATTCATGAAAAAATGAATACAAAGTTCCTGTCACATAACCTTGTATGGAAGTCTTTATACGTGCACAAAGTTCACTTTGTTGATATCACATATATGTCCCTGATAGCTAGACCACCGTCTACAAGTTGAAGAGGCGTAAAGGGCTCTAACGACACTAACGGCAGAGAGGTGGTAAAGGAGAGTTAGTTATGGGAATCTCCACGTGCGTGGCAGAGTATAGGGATTGATTAGAGTGGGGATATTTTAGTAACATATTTAGTATATGTAGCTAAGAATAGTCTTGGGGAAGGGTCAAGTATTTTTCTTCAAGGGTTTATCAATGGAGGCACCTAACTCTTCGAACTGCTACGAATTATCCGGTTATTGTGTTACTTTGTTGTTTTGATCTGATTTGCACTTCATTTCTTACTTAAATACAATATGGATTAACATAAGAATTGTGGATTCTCTTGTTATCTGTTATTTGTGTGTTTGTTGCTTGGAATTGGTTCATTTTACCAGGTGTTCCTATCAAATTGGTATCAACCAAAATGGAGAATAGAATGGAAGGTATGGAGAAGGAGACACTACAACATTATACACATATAGCTATGAAAATTAGCTACAGAAAGGAAAACTGTAGTAAATACATATTTACAGCTACCAAAGTCAATATTTGTAGCTAATTGAGATAATTTTAGTGATAAAATTTCCTCTCTCGAAGCTAATACTCATCGCTTGCTTTAACTTATTAACATTAGGGGTGTGGAAATTCGGTTAATCGAACCAAATGGGGTGTTTTTTGAATCGAACTTGTTTTTCAGTTCAAGCAATATGCCAAACCGAAATCGAACCAGATTACCCATAAACCAGTTTTTAACTAAATTGATAATTTGGTTCAGAAACTGGTTAACCGATTATTCAAACTTACCCAAAAAATCAAATCCAACCTGTAGAAAGCAGCTTCACCATTAAAAAAAAAAAAAAAACCCACAACCAAGAAACGAATTATAATCATTCACTTCTTTAAGTAACAAGTACTAAAAATATAAATTGATCATTAAAATATTAAACATAATATAACAAACTTCAAAATTTCGCACCCCACACACCCCAAAATCAAAACTTTCAACAAAGTTCAAACCCACCACCAAAACGAATCAAAAGATTCAAAATCAACAAAATACACAAAAATTAAAAGAATCGCATTTGTGAACTTGAAGATGCTTTTGCCTGTGATTTCTAGTAGTGTGCTGTCGTGGTTTCGTGCTAATCAAAGACTGAAAATAGCGACCAGTTCGTTATCGCCATAAAATGCAAGTCAGTGAAGGTAAAGGCGCAGTAAAACGAAAGGAAAATTAACTGATTAAGGGATTAATGTAAAAAATAAAAGTGAGGAAAACAAACCCTAGAAATTTGAAAAGGAAGGAGAGAACTGGAGAGAAGTGAAGGGAATCACCGAATTGGAGAGAATAGGGAGTGGAGTTTGTTGCGTTGACACTTTGACAGTGAGTAAAAATAAATGTTTGGAATCAAAGAGAGTGAAAACGTTGGGGAAAGAGGGAACAAAAAGGAGGAAATTTTTAAGTTTAGGGATTTGGGTATATATATATGCAATCGGTTTTGGTTAACAGTTTTAAATTAACCTTTGAACCGTTAACTGAACTAATTTTTCGGTTTATTCAATTTTGCAAACCGAAATTGAACCGGTTACTCTAGATAATCAGTTTTTCGAACCGATTTCGATCTAGTTTCTCGGTTCAAATTGGTTCAGTTTTTTTTTTTTTTTTTTTTTGCAACCATAATTAAAATCGTGGCAATAATTAGTCATTTAGCTACAATGTATTAGCTATGGTAAAACATTGTAGCTAATTAATATATTTAGTTATTAACATTTTATTTACATGGCATAGAGTATCATTATTAGCTACGAGTTTAACTATATAGCTATTATTTGTACATTGGTTATAAAATATTGAAATTTGTGGCTAATTAAGGTATCTAGTTATACAAATTCTATTTTCATGGTAGTAACAATATTGTAGTATCATTATTAACTATTAGTTTTAATATATAGCTAATATGTGTGTATTAGGCTATTAGCTCTAAATTATTTGAATTTGTAGCAAATAAAGAATATGAAAATTAATTTGTTACAATCCTTATAGTATGAAGCTATAAATATTCTAATTTATCCCGTGAGTAATTATATTTTTATAACTTATGAATTAAATAGTTATAGTCAAACATAGTATTAATCATACCACTAAGGTCAATAGTAAATGGAATCTTCAACCAATAATTAACTTAAAAGAACTCTTCAGCGACCTAGGAATGTGGGTTTTTGTAAAATAAAATTGTATTTTAAAGGATCTATGAGGTTTTTGTGTTTTCTATGATGATTTAAAACTAACACTTTATGAAATATATGTGATTTTAGGTATGAGATATGAGATATTATAAAAATTGGTTATGTTACATATTTGTATATATGGACTTCTATGTATGTTTTAAATGATGATGATGATGATAGAGTTAATAAACTATTTAAATTATTTATACGTTGATAAAAAAATTGTTTGGTTGTATGGAAGATCGATTTTATATAAAACTTGGTGCATATATCAAAATAACCAAAACCACCATTAATATATTTATCAAAACCTGCCTCACTTCACAAAGTATTAATATGTAAAGCAAATTAATTGAATTGTATAACCATAAAACTTTATAAGACTGAAAGCATATTTTGTAAAATAAAGGAATTGAACTCAAGTTGAACAATCATTTAAAATATAAAAACTGCATCAAAAATCTCAAAGCTTTCAAACAAACATCATATGAAAGATTAAAAAAATGTAACAAACAATCTAATAATCTATATGAGCAAATCTTCATCATCAATGTCTTAGAATCTCTCCTTTCATCAATACTATGACCATCATCAACAATTGCACTACTAGAAGCACATATCTCATTTCTCTTCCAATTGATTATGTCACCATCATCTTCAAACATATTTGTAATTTGAGGATCCATTTCAGAGTTGTCTTGTTGGAAAGCTTTTTCATCAATTGATGATTTTTCACCACATGATAGGTCATAAAAGCTATCCGAATGACCTTTTAAAACAACAAGCCAATTAGGATTGGAACCATCGTTAACATAGAATACTTGTTGTGCTTGAGATGCAAGCACAAATGGTTC